AGTGAAGTCACTCAGGAGTGGAAAACCAAGCATTGTATGTTGTCACTCGTAAGTGAAAAGTAAGCTATGAGGATGCAAAGGCATAAGAATGACACAATGGACTTTGGGGACTCAGGGGAAAGGATGAAAAGGGGGTGAGGAATAAAAGACTACAAATTGGGTTCACTGCATACTGCTCGGGTGATGAGTGCACCAAAATTTCACAAATCACCACTAAAGAACTTTCTTGTGTAACCAAATACCATGTGACCAAATGTGACCTGCTCCCCAATAACCTATGGAACTAAAAAAATTAAAATAAATTTAAAAAATTAAAAAAATTCCAAAGTCAAATTCAGAAAAAGGGATACACACATGGTTAAAAATGACCCCAAACTAGCAACTTTCAAATTTTGAACACAAATAAGGATGGGGCTATTTCTTTGTTTTTGTGCCTATAGAAATTGTATTATAACCAAACAGGCTTTTATAGTCATTTGTAGAAAAAAAGTATGACATAAAGTGAATATAATAATCAAGGAAGTTATATGTATGTTACAAATAAATATATACATTTTTCAGATATGTCTATAGGGCAATGCCCATCATTCTGGAGAAGTTGCATGGAGCTGTTTAGTACATTTTAACTAATGTTCCTAAAAACAAGAATTTCTCCTAAATTCAGACACTGCTTCAATGGTTAATTCATTTGTTAATCCATCCATTCACTAAATATCTCAGCAGATACTTATAGTGGCCTTTATTTGTAAAGGGCTATTCTAGGCCAGCATGGAGGCTCATTCCTTGTAATCCCACCACTTTGGGAGTGGGAGGCTGAGGTGGGAGAATTACTTGAGCCAGGAGTTGGAAACTAGCCTGTGCAACATAGTGAGACCCTGTCTCTACTAAGAATAATAGCTAAATTTAAAAACTATATTTTCAAAAAGGACTATGCTAGTGCTATAAGGTATCCAAAATTTATTTGATAAAAATTCCAGGCTCTGTAAGTTTATAGAAGAGTGGGAAATAGTTTTCTTTTATCAATAAATTATATCATTACACTTAAAATGTTTCTCATTGGCTTCAATTTTAAGAAGTGCAAGGAAATATAAAATGGTTTACATTAATTATATATTGTATATAGTCATATGCAAATATTTACAATATGTATAAAATGTATATGTGATATATTGTGAATTTAGAGAAAAAGAGATTTATACATTTTAAAACTTCCTTGTATGAAAAAAAATTCTGGAAACTGTAAGTGTGAGCTATCTACATTAGTGTTTCTGTGTTTGACAAAACAGTATTACAGCCCAAAGGGGAATGGTTGAGAATAGATAACTTGGCCAAATCGCCCTGGCTAGAAAAGCAAGGAGATTGCATCAAACTCACTCTAAAACTCACTCAAAGAACTTGAAACTGCTTGCACTCTCTTAGGTTTTACTTCCTGGTCCTTACTGGCAGCTGATGAGGTTTAGAAATAAGCAAATGTATCTGTCTATACTGAAGGGAAGAAAATAAATCTGCTATGGCACTAGTTCAAAACATTGCACGAGCAGTCAAGAGAAACAATTAGGCAGAATATGCTTAATGGTAAATCAGAAATGACATGCATGAAAACATGGGGGTGCACCTTGAAAATATTGGAAAAATGAGTCATGTAAGTTTGCAGAACCAATCAGATCTTCGACTGATACACTTTGTAAGTTCCAATTGCTGGATATCACTTATCCATGTGATCAGGGGCATCTGTAATGATGAATGGCTCACGTTCATACAGCTTCCAATGCCTGATTTCTGAAATGATCAACTATTTATTAGCTGTAAGGTAAGGTCAATGAAATATATTATCTTCTCCTGTGCTTAGAGATGTTAAAATTCATTTATGGTACTACAAAGATTATGACATGCAATAAAAGTCCTAAACTGTGAAATAAAACCCAAGGTAGGATTTAGTTTATTGTGTGTTAGTAATGATATTTAAAGAAAATATTAACATTTTGCTAAGCAAATATATTAACTATGCAATAATTTTAATTATGATTAATTTTATCATAAGCATTTGCTATTCTATTTACACATACACCTCTTACAAATTCAAATAATAAAAAACGATGTTTTTGATCTGTACTCAGGAATACAGAGACATATGTTTTATGTAAAGAGAGTGTATTTCAACATGGCAAAATCCCTTCTGTACTAAAAACACAAAAATTAGCTGGGCAAGGTGATGTGTGCTTGTGGACCTAGCTACTCAGGAGGCTGAGATGGGCAAATCACTTGAGGCCAGGGGACAGAGGTTGCAGTGAGCTATGATTGTGCCACTGCCCTCCAGCCTGGGTGATAGAGCAGGACCCTGTCTCAAAATAAGAAGCAAAATTAAAATTAAAATAAAATAAAAAACAAAGTGCATAGGTCAGCTAGATGCAGTAGCTTATGCCTGTAATCCCAGCAGTTTGGGAGGCTGAGGCAGGAGGATCACTTGAGGCCAGGAGTTCAAGACCAGCCAGGGCAACACAGCGAGACCATGTCTCTACGAAACACACACAAAAAATTATCCAGAGAGGTGGTACACGCCTGTATTCCCAGGTACTTGAGAGGCCTGAAGTGAGAGGATCCCTTGAGCCATCGCATACAATTTGCAGCCAGGAAGAAGAGAGCACAGACTTCAAAGACTCCATTAACTCAGTGAATCTATTTCCTAGCACACAGACACATATACAAAGACTTACAGTCACATCATATGCTTATGGGAGCTGGCATTTCTCCTTGACGGTAGCAAGGGATGAGCTTTTTATTATCACTGTGGCTTCTCAGTTTATGCAAGTCAACACCTTTGGAACAGGGCTGAGACCAGGATGGTATCCATCCTACCTCCCTCTTTCTAATGGTGGCATTTAAAAAATTATTTTGTACAGATGGGATCTTGTTATGTTGGCCAGGGTGGTCTCAAACTCCTGGCCTCAAGTGATCCTCCCACCTCAGCCTCCCAAACTGCTGGGATTAAAGGCATGAGCTACTGTGCCTGCCTAAAACAATGCCATTTTTAAGATGAGGTGCACTTAAAGAAAGGGTGTATTTGGTAGACAAAATAAGTACTCTCCAAAGATGTCCAGAAACGTGTCCCTGAAACCTGTGAACATGTGCAATGACAAGGCAAGGGAGGAAATGAGTTGGAAGGTGCCAATGACAGATACCAATCAGCTGATCTGAAACGTGGATATTATCCTGGGTTATCTCTGTCAGTGTCCAGTGGAATCCCAGGAGTCTTTCTAAGTGTAGGAGAGAGGCAGGAGAAAGGAACCAGAGAGACAGCGACATGAGAAGAATCCCCTCAAAATGCTGGCTTTTAAGGTGAAGAAGGAGGCTATGAGACAAGGGATAGAGGGAGCTTTCAGAATCTGAAAAACACAAGAAAGCAGCTCCTCCCCTACCACCCTCAGAAGGGACACTGCCCACTGACATCTTGAGTTGATGTCAGTGTCCTACTGACAGTGTCCCAAAGACACTCACCCCAGACTACATGAAACTACAGAACTGCAAGGTAATAAATGTATTTTTTTTAAAATTCTAAACATTTCACTAACTTATTTTAATTGACAAACTTAAATGGTATTTATCCTCTACAGCGGGTTGCTTTGAAATATGTATACATTGTTAAATAGCTACATCAAGCTAGTTGACCTCTGCATTACTTCACCTGAGTATAATTTTCTTTGTGGTGAGAACTCTTTAAATCTACCTTCTTAGCAATCTTTAAAAATACAATACTGTCATTAGCTATCATCACACTGTTTTACAATAGAGCTCTTGAACTTACTCCTCCTAACTGAAATCTTTTATTTACCCTTTAGCCAACATCTCTCCAACCTTCCACCTCCCCCAGCTCCTGGAAACCACCACTCTATTCTTTGTTTCTGTGAGTTCAACTGTTTTAGATTCCACATAGAAGTGAGATAATGCAGCCAGACTCAGTGGCTCACGCCTGGAAGCCCAGCAATTTGGGAGGCTGAGGCAGGAGGATCACTTGAGGCCAGGAATTTGAGACTGGTCTGGGCAATACAGGGAGGCTTCATCTCTAGAAAGAAAAAACTAATCAAACACCACATGTTCTCACTCATAGGCCGGAGTTGAACAATGAGAACACATGGACACAGGGAGGGGAGCATCACACACTCTGGGGTCTGTTGGGGGGGAAATACGGGAGGGACAGCGGGGGGTGGGGAGTTGGGGAGGGATAGCATGGGGATAAATGCCAGATATAGGTCTCCCAGGTTCAAGAGATCCTCCTGCCTCAGCCTCCTGAGTAGCTAGGACTACAGTTGCATGCCACCACCCCTGGCTAATTTTTTTTTTTTTTTTTTTTTGTATTTTTAGGAGAGATGTGGCTTCACCATGTTGTCCAGGCTGGTTTCAAACTCCTGACCTCTAGTGATCCACCTGCCTCAGCCTCCCAAAATGCTAGGATTACAGGCATGAGCCACCGCATCCAATGGAGGTTTTGTTTTCTTTTATTAGAGAAAAATGTACTTTTCTATGACTGTGCTTTCTACATATTTGGAACTGAGACAGATCCAAAGAGACTAAACTGAAATTTAAATTATCTTTAATGTTAAATTTTAATTGACCGTGTACATAACTGTGCAATTGCTGCTTTGTCACAGAAGTGTCTAGGGTTCATTCAACAGATCATAGAATCAAGGTCTGGCATTTAACAAACAGAAAAATGATAGAGAAGATAAACTTATACAAGAATTATCAAAACATTGTCATGTGGTTTAGTGTAGTTCAAATTATGCTTGTATCATGTAACAGGTTCAAGTTCTTTCTTCAGTCAGCATAACTGAGGTTGGAGAGACAACTAAGGGCCAACTCTTCCTACAGCTGTTTCAAGAAAAAAATTAAGTAACTGTGATACACATTTCTGCAAATAAAATATTCCAGTGCTTATATCAATCCTGAGATCTTAAGATTAAATATGCACTACTTACAGTCTCTGACACAATTTAAAAACATGGCTAGTTATCAAATTCATTGTCTTCATCATAAAAAACTCCACGATAATAGTCTTCAAACTTCTTGATAACCTAAAACAAAAAGTCTAGTTCACTGACAAACCACCACTTTACATCTAGCATTAAACAGGGTTAATTAAATGTCAAAAGAAAACAGATTATAATATTCAAAGGATGTTGGTTATTTATTTCAAATTGAAAAAACCATAGTCAATACATGGAGCTCCAAATATCCACTTAAAATTTTTAATGCCAGATTTCAGTGACATATTATTTTAGTAGGTCCAACAGTCATGTACTTTGCTTGAATAAAATGGGTTGAAGAACTTCTTAAGGTCAAGATGAAGTAAAGACAGAAGAAGACTGGCAGTCTTGTATCATGAAATATTATATTTTTTGAGCATGTAGTGACCCATGTATTATCAGCAATAGTCTATGTAACGTGATTTCCATTGAAGGAATAAAATGGTTGGTGATATGATCTCATCAAGTTAGAGAAAACGTAACTATTTTTGAAGCATATACTCTTTACTCAAACATAGTTCAACAGTCCCTGCTCCCTAAAATGTTGTATGTTAATGCTGAGGAAGAAGTAAAAAAAAAAATGAATACACAATCTCTTCCATATTCCTGTGACATGAGCAAATGCACAAATTGAAAAAAAAGTAATACAACAATTGTGTAACTGCTATGGAAGGGCAACTCACTCAGACACATAGCCAAAGATGGAGACTGATGTGGACTTAGTTGGCAAAAGGTTTCAATTGGTAAAAAAAAAAAAAAAAAAAAAAAAAAAAAAAAAAAAAAAATTAAAAGCATTGCGAGGGAAGAGCACAAGCAAAACATGGGAGTAACGATGAGCTCCTTCAGGGAAGGCTGTCAACCTGGAGAGGCAGGAGCAAAGACAGAGGGCAGCAAAACAAGCCTAAGAGGGGATCATGTAAAGGGGAGAGTCTCCGAATATCTAAAAACTGAGACATGGGTACCACTGACAGGCAGGGAAGAGGGAAGGGCTAGGAAGTATTTTAGGAACAGAAGGGTTTTAGGAAGATATTATTGGGGATCAATGAAGGATGGCTCAGAAAAGAAGAGAGAACTCATAAAAGAGTTTAATAGTATGAGCAAGGCTGAAACAGGAGAATCGTTTGAACCAGGGAGGTGGAGGTTGCTGTGAGTCAAGATCGCACCATTGCACTCCAGCTTGGGCAACAATAGCGAAACTCCATCTCAAAATAAATAAATAAATTAAATTAAATTAAATAGTATGAGCAAGGAAGAATGAGGTCTTAAACTAGCGCAGCCTCAGTGGGAATTTAAAGATAGAAATTAAAGATAGAAATTAAAGGACCATTGCAGAGGTGAAAGTTGCCTAGTGATAACTGGATGGGAAGGATAATGGACTCAGAAGAGTCCAAGATGATAGCAAAGGTCCTACCCTAAGTGGTAACATGTAGCATTAATGTTGACAGGAAAAATTCTAGTTTCATGTTCATACCAATTAATAAATGGTTTCTGGAGAACACTGTAGTAACAAGTTCTCTACTTGCGACTTCTATTTAAATATCTTTGTATAGATCATCCTCAAATTGCTCAAAAAGGTTATTTTCAAACTATTTTTCCAGTTTATTTAACACATCTCAGTTAGTGTAGAAGAGTGACATATGAACGTGTTTTTTCACAAGGTTATTAAAAAGAATACCTTACTTCCCTAAAAAATAATTGCATTGTTTCCTAAATTATATACATCTACATGAAGAAGAGGTCATTGTCTGATGACAATTTGCCAATGTGCTGTCTGGCAGCAGATAATCCCCAATTCACAACGTGTTAATAATCTGCTGGCTTTCCCATTCTGTTATACATCTGAACCATCTCTTATGATTGCAAATTGTCATGTAAAACCATTACTAGTCACTGATAATTTTGAAAGTGAGTGTGCCATAAAACACTCCTGTATTACAGCAGGAAACAAAAGAGACACTCAGTAGTTACACTTGCCTACTTCCTATTTATCTAAAACTTTTGAAACAACACAAGTATAAAATACATCCAGAAAGGATTTATGGACTTCCTGCCTTCCACCATAGATTTGTTGATGATGTCCTGAAAACTGAAAATAAAATCTTCATTAAAACCCATTTATGCCTAGTGTTCCATTATTGCAATTCTAAGCTTCTGGGAATCATGTATATCCTACTGTTCAAAGGTCATAGCCAGGGTTTGATTTTTCACACACAAAAAAAATTTGCAACCTCCTGCATAAATAGGTTCATGTGTTAGTAAAGTATCAATTATATACATAAGATGTACATTTCTAGGTAAAATTTCCAATTTACCTTTTCCTGTTCTAAATAACTCCCACAAAACTATTCATGAATCCTAAAAACACATTTACCAATTATATTAAATCTGGAACAATACATTCAAAGTGAAAATGGTGAGTAATTTAAAATGTATAACTAAAATGTCTTTCCACACATTCAGAAAGAAGCAGACTGTCTTCTATTACGCACGTGTTGTATTTTATAATCTATTATGTTACCAAATAGAACAAACCTTTACGAATTGCTCACGTAGCAGCTTCATCGCTCTCAGCCTCTCTCTCCTAAGACTTCTATATCGGTACCACCTCTTCTGTTGTTCTTGAAATATTTTCTAGAATTACAAAACAAAATAGTGATAAAAATTGGGCAAATTTTAATACTTACAAAACATAATTCTGCATTAACTTTAAAGGAATATTCTTTAAATCAATATTTCTGAACACTTTCTTTTAGACAACATTTAAGACGAATTTTAAACAACTGTGTTCACCAATCACATGCTAAAATGATGTAATAACCTTTTTTATTCATCATTGAGCAGAAAATTTTCTTTCTTATACATATTCAATACATGTGTCCTAATTCTTGATTTCAAATGAAGAATATTTGATGAACCTTCCTATAATTTGTTGACCACAGATAGGTAAAATCTATATAGAAATTAAGAAACATTCTAAGATTTTAAACATATATTAAATTTTGGTCATTTTAATACGCACATAGATGAACCATTCAATAATGACTGACTTTCTACACCTTGATCTAGTCTCCAACTACAGTGTTCTCCTCTTCTCTATGTGGCACTCACTCACACAGTCATCCCCCTAGATTTTGTCATTCCCAATGACTTCAACATCTACGTAATATTAATAATAGCAACGATGAAGAGCAACCATGGGTCAGATCACATCCTGAAAAATTTAAATAAACCTGTTACATAGGAACCTTTTAATCCTCCAAACAACTCTGAGGTAGGTACTCTTACCATGTCTCCTTTAGTAGATAAGGAAACTGAAGCACAGAGATAAATAATTTGCCCATGATTTCCAAGCTAGCAATAGTCAAACTGGAGTTGGATCCCAAGCAGTATGGCTGCAGAGTCTCAGCCCCTGACCACCACATTCAGCTGTTTCTCCATCTTCCCAACATACAGCCACTACCTCCCTGCCATTGTGGGTCACTCACTTCAGTACTACAGCTCAAAAGTCTGTTGGGACCTGACACCCACTGAATGGAGTACTTTTCACTGACCATTGCCCACCCCCATGTACTCAGGTAACTCAGTCCCAGCTGAAATTCCACAGCCAGTCATCACAACCCCATCCCTGTATCTATGCCCTGCCCAACTCTCCCTAGATCAACACACTCAGCTACACTCCAACCCAAAAAATTCCAACCCTACGGATGCTCTTACACAAATATGCCAGTTGGGCTCACTTTAACTTCTTAATCGCTATGACACTGACTTCCGTTGGACCCCTAACGCTGCGTGGCAATTATGTTCCCTTAGTCCATAAGTCCACTAACGGGGCCCCCTCTCTGGGCTCATGCTCTCTTCCTTCTTTGCTGGATGTCTGCATGAATTAATACTACCTGAGACATTGATACAATAGGTTAATCATAAAGCTAAGCCTGATACCAACAATTAGTTCTTCTTCTTCTCTCTCTTCTTCTTCTTCATTTTTCTGCTCATCTGTGATGCATTTATCAAGGACATTCAGCAACTTCAGAGAATGTTTATAATCACGTTTCTGCCTGTAACACATAGTAAATAACATGGTCATATGTCATAAAGAGATGAAAAATTAATCCTATTCAAACCAAAACTGACTTGACATAATTTATACTGTGAAGTAGCAAGGGAGTAACAGCAGCTGAAATCTTGTTTGGGGGGAAAGGTGAAATGAGTTATTCTTATTATGAAAGGATTCCTTCCTAACTGACTACTACAGCAGCTGTCTTACATTCTTTACGTGCCAAAGACAAAGGAGGGTTTACTGCACTATAAATCTCTCAGAAATAATCATTTTCTCTAAGAGCAGTTTGCTTTTCATTTCCTCTTACTGAACAACATATGGGTTCTCATAAGTAGGTTCAAGAATATCATAGCCATTCATCCTGTAAGATTTCCCAAAAGAAATACTTCACTTAACTATTTCTCCACTTTGGCACAATAATGATGTTGTAAAAGAAATAGCGAAACCAATTTAACTAAAATAGATAACTTATTTACAACATAAGTTTATCCCTTTCTACATAATTGAGTATCATTAAGAATCTATAGACTAAACATTGAGGACATTTATCTTTGATTAAGCTTCCATCCTTCTAGAAATGAATAAAAATTAATTTTTTAGGCAGACTCTTTTTACCTGGAAGGCAAAAAGAGGTCATCCTCATTGGCTTCTAGGTAATATCTCTCAATTCTGTTAAACTGAGGCTATAGAACTAAAGAAACTTACTTGCTTAGGGAACACTCAAGTAAAATACGTTGTTCACTAGAGATGAAAATATGTACAGGATAATTTTTGAAATTATTTGCACCAACGAATACAAAGAAATAATATAAATATCATTATGCAAAAAAGCCAACATACTTTTTAAGTTGTTTTTTCCTCAAAGCACGTTTACTTTTCTTCTTCTTTGCTTTGCGGCGGGCCTCTGTATCCATTTCAATCCTTTTTCTTTTTGCAGCAAGACCCTTGCTAATGCCAGCTAGATAGTAAATGAAAATGCACTAAAAGTTAATGTTGACAAGTAGTTTATTTACATATATTGACATCAATATGGGACATTATGGTTCAGCAATATCAGAAGAATATTTAAAATATATAAAGCAAAGATCATTTCAAAATGCAAGATTTACTCACTTATTTTCTGTAAAATCTTTCAGGCATTAATATTAGTATTGCAATTCCAATTGGCATAACTGCAAATCACTTAATTGACGGATGATGAAAAAGCAAGTAATTAAAGGTTTCTATTTTTTAAGTGTGTAGAAAGGGTTATAAGCATAGACTTTAATTTCTACATTTATAAAATGTCCTACAATTCAAGGGACATGGTTCCATGAAATACGGTCACAACTGATCATGTAAAGCACACAAAAAAAGTATCTTATTTAATAAGACCATCAAAACGGTAGAAATAAGTTAATATGCAATAAGAAAAGCATTTTTAAGCAATCTACTGATTTATGCTATTAACTGTATTTTAATAAGAGAAGCAACATCCATGAGTATAAAAATGTAGTTTTAAATAAAGAAACACATTCAAAAACGCTTTTGAAATATTTTCTCGGAGTTTTTATATGACATTTTTATCCACAGTGTTGTGCTTCAGAAAACTGTAATACTGCAAAGAATGCTTTCCTAAACATGATTTTGCATAAGAGATCTACCATCAAGTACTAAGAATAGTTTTCAGCAATCATAAAAGATCTCCACCATAATACAAATATTTTTGAAATACAGTTTCGATCTATAACACACTCAATGTATTAGGCAACGCACATAACCAGCACTTTGTCACCACCAAGCGAGCAAAGCTTTCCAAATATTGTGCTTGTATGAATTATTGCTATAGAAAAGCTGAAAACTGAATTGAGCTTTTTAAAAATAAGAGTATTGTCTCCAATGTCTCTACAGAAATTTTATCAAACTTTTTTGAAAATATGGTCCTATAACAGTCAGTGCAACTAATACGTCACATGGCAATACAAAATGTATGAGTTTTTGGATCCAATTACATGTTTCTCACTGGGTAGAAAAGTTGTTTTTCCTTTTCTACTACACAGTTTATTGCTGGAATAATAATAGAAAATCATTTTAGAGAATTCAATTTTCTCTTGTACTTTAAAGACAACAAAATCAGAAAGCTGTGACAATAGAATAGCTGAATTAGGAAGATGAAAAACTCATATTAAAAACTCTGAGTACATAGGGACACGAAGAGGGGAACAACAGACACCTGGGCCTACTTGAGGGTGGAGGGTAGGAGGAGGGTGAAGATGCAAACCTCCCCTCAGGTACTATGCTTATAACCTGGGTGACAAAATAATCTGTATAGCAAACCCCTGTGACACGCAATGTATCTAACAAACCTGCACATGTACCCCCAAACCTAAAGTAAAAGATTGAAAAAAAAAACTGATATATGACTTAATCTGTGTACACTAAAAGGATTGAATAGACCTGTTTCTCCTCCAATGGCCTCTAAAATTCCCCAAACAATTAAATTTCCATGTGTCTGAAAGAAAAGCCATCCTTCTTGCTTCACCACTGTTAGAAGCATTCTCACATTCCACATCAACAATCAAAAAGGTAAGAAAAATTTATCAAACAGATTATGGTAAATACTTATGTTAAATGCTACATATGAGAAGAAGGCATTTAAGACAGTCTTCTTGTCACTAATTCATATAACCTACTGTAACAGTTGTATGATTGAGAACAATTTTCATAAACTACAGATACTTCCTAAAGCATACCTGCAATATCTTCTGGCTTCTTGGTATCAACCCTATAAAAAAATAAAGTTACATCAAAATTTTAACATAGGACCACACAAAATGCCATGCTTGTTGGGAAAAAATGTCTTATGTAAAATGTTCTGCATAGACCAGAACAGTGATAACATGATCCAAAGCAGGCTTTTCCTAAAAAGACTCTATCCGACAGGCAAATGCAACTTAACACTTTACCCCTTGTGTTCATGTGTTTCAGCAAAAGGTTCTGTTTCCCCATGCCCAGCAGTTACATCTTCCTTCCCTGTTTCTGTAAAAGGATTTCTCTCCTCACGCTCATCGCTTATTTGATCCTTTCCTGCATTAAAATAAAAAAGACAAATTTTTAGAGGAAGACGGTATTGTGGACATTTTCCACAGAGAAATGTACTATTTGCAGACTTTTTTGGCTCTCGGCCAATTGAAGCTTTAAAGCAGAGCTATACATGGAATCACCGGCTCCTGACCATTTTATGGAGACATTTTTGGAATCCCTTTGGGTTCAAGTCCCAGTAAACAGCGCACTACAGATCAGACCCCTTGGACGTCAGGACCGCAGCCACGCAGAAGAGATGGTCTGAGACCATCTTTAACCCTGCTATGAAGGGAAGCCTCCCACCGGAAGCCTAAGGCCTCGAGCCTGCTTTGAAGACCTGGGGCCTCTTAGCACTTGCACGGCGGACTGCAAAGCCACGAAGGGCCAGGGGCCCTCGGGCTCCCCATGTGACCGCCGCGCAGAAAGCAGACAGACTGTCCTCGGGTGTGCACCTTCTTCCGGGTCCCCTTGGGCTGTGTTTACCTGCTTGCTCCTTGTCCTGGGAGGCCATAACTTGAGCCTTCAGCTGGGTCTTGGCAGCCCTCCTGCGGCGCTTCCTTCTGACGGGTGCCATGGCTGGCCGTCCTAGGAAGCTAGAGGCGACCCCTGAACCTGGTGAGCACAAAGACAACTAAGGAAACTAAGGAAAGGAGGCGCCGGAAAGGAAAGCCATCGGGATCGCAGGTTCAAGATGGGTGGGGCTGGCCCTCCCCGAGTCCCCTGTAGGGGCAGGAGGAGACGGAGAAGATGCCAGTGTCCCCTCCCATCCTGGCCCGTGCAGCCCGTCCCCGGGGGTGGCTGCAGAGTTCACAGCTGCCTCACACGCCTGAACTCAACAGCCTCTGCGGGATCCTCCCTGCGCCTTTGGGATAGAGTTCAGCCTTGCCCCTGGATCCCCAAGAGACCCTGAGTGGCTGGGAGGGCCGCGGAGTGACACAGGGTCTCCCTAGCCATCTCCAGAGGAATGTCAGGGGCTGCACTGCCACTCGCCCTCCTGGATGCACAGAGTACCCCAATGACCTGAAGTGCTCTGTCCTGACAGGATGCTGGGCAGGAGGGACCCACTCAAATTGTCCCTCACAACGTCCCCGGCCCGCCCCACTCCCCCCCACCGACCGCCAGCCCCTCCCCCACCCCGCACACCTACAGAAGCCCCCAGGACACTCCCGGGTCCTGGGGGGTCACCCAGGTGGCTCCAGCTCCCTCCCTGCTCCAGCCCACCCCAATCTACCCTCAGTGCCTTGCCCTGACCCAGGCCCCAGGTGAGGACCCCAGGACCATTTCCTCACAGGTCAGCCGGTGCCCGGCTCTTCACACCCTGGTTCCCAGAGGGTCTTGTACCCGCCTTCCCACCTCCCTGCCTCAAGCACGTCACCTGAGGGACCCCTGATAGGTCTCCTTCACAGAATCTGCGTACACTGGCACCAGGAGACGCTCTGAGAAAGAGACCCCGCCTGGCTTCCCGCGCTCCTCGCTGATTGGTCAACTCAGTGCGCATGCGCATGCGGGTGACTGACTGCCTGATGCCAAACCCCTGCTGCCACGCCTCTCCTTCCCTTAAAGGACCGACCATGGGTTACTGTGGACTGGAGTGATGGTGGCTCTTTGGGGCCTCTGTCCCCACAATCTTCTGGCTTCTCCTCTTGGAGTGGGATGCGAGGACTCCGGATGGAGGCCAAGTGGACGAGGCCTCCTAGGATCTCGCCCCTGGGCTCGTTCCAGCCATCCCTGCCCCTTTGGCTGGAATGGCCATCGCCCTACCGGTGGTGCCCAGGCTCCTTTCCATGCCGTTTGTGCTTCAAACATGCCCAGCTGCATCCTTTTCATCAATGGATTGCGCTTTTATGTTTTCTGTTTTTGAGACTGAGTCTTGCTCTAGTGCCCAGGCTGGAGTGCAGTGGTGCAATCTCGGCTCACTGCAACCTCTGCCTCCTGAGTTGAAGCGATTCTTCTGCCTCAACCTCCCAAGGAGCTGGGATTACAGGCTCCCGACACCACGCTCCGCTAATTTTTTTTTTTATTTTTATTTTTGTTTTTTTAGTAGAGATGGGGTTTCATCCTTTTTGGCCAGGCTGACCTCAAACTCCTGACCTCAGGTGATCCGCCTGCCTAGGCCTCGCAAAGTGCTGAGGTTACAGGCGTGAGCCACCCCGCCCGGCCCATGACCTTTTTTGTTTCCTCACTACTTTTCTTGCCCATAGGCTTGCCCAGGCTTGCCCACAAACCCTCATGCTCCAGACTTTTCCAGACATATCCCACAACCTTCACCCTCAAATGCCTTAATACTTATCGTTAACTCAGCTTGTTTCCACCTCTGGTCTTCTAAAATAGAGAGTAAAGGTTGTTTTGGAGTTGGGAGTGAATAAATATTGCCTTGAGTTGGTAAATCAAGCTACAGAGGTTCATTATGTTATTGAAATTATAAAGGCAGTCATCAGGAAAACTAATCAATAGCCTTTAATGTCTATATAACCAGAAAGAGCACACACAAAACATACAAATCCTGTAGTAAAAGTTGGAAAATAAAGAAAATACTACAAACGGAGACCATAACATAACATAAAGGAACAGAATTAAGGCCAAGTGAATCTGATGAGCAAGAAATATGAATGAGATAAACTCACAAACTAAAGGAAATGACTTCCAACTTGGATCCAAATAAAAACCTAAGTATATGCTATATGTAAGAATGGAGCTAAAACAAAATGATACAAAAATATATATCAGAAAAATATGAAGAAAAGGAAAATACGGATCTGGGAATTAATATCTCACAAATGTAAAATAATGCAAAAAATAAATGAATAAACTAAAGGCAGAGCACACTGAACAAGAGAAGGGCACAATCTACTCTGACAATCTGACGTGAATCGTTTTGTGCTTAGCACAGCGTCAACGTGCTTAAAACCCAAACCCTAGAAAATAAAAGAAAAACAACCAATGAAATGAACAGTGATGTGAGAGTTTTAACCCTGTCTATCCAGGATAAACCAAATACAAATGTATTGTCTTGGATACAGCCATAGTATCTTAAATTGCTCTCTTGGCAGTAGAGTGAGCATTTTCTTTCACTTTCAACCAATGAACCCTCATCACATCCTATAGTACTTCCTTGGCCGTTACTATAGTCTATTCTACCTACAGTTTCCCAAACAAATAAAAAAATAGGAAGGCTTACATTAGTAAATAGGAGAAAAGTTTTCTTGTTGTTGTGTGTGTACATGTCTGCACGTGAATGTGTGTGTGTGTGTGTGTGTGTGTGTGTGTGATGTTTGTTGTTTGTTTGTTTCAGATAGAGTTTTACTCTTGTCCCCCAGACCAGAGTGCAGGGACAAAATCTTGGCTCACTACCACCTCTGCCTCCTGAGTTCAAGCAATTCTCCTGCCTCAGCCTCTAGAGTAGCTGGAATTGCAGGCACCCGACACCACACCCAGCTAATTTTGTATGTTTAGCAGAGATGGGGTTTCACCATATTGACTAGATTGGTCTTGAACTCTTGACCTCAAGTGACCTGCCTTCCTCAGCCTCCCAAAGTGCTGGGATTACAGGCATGAGCCACTGTGCCTGACCTGGTTTTGTTCGTTTATTTAACATGAAAGCCAGCACTAAATGATCTTCAAAGTATCTTCATAACTTAAAAATACATGTTCACATGATATCTTTTTCACTTTCAGTGTGAAAAAAGCATGGAAGGTAATGTTCCATTCTGGTGCACTAAAGGATAATGGTGTTGTATTTGAGAAGAAAGGAAGGGAGCTGTGGTCTGGCAACTGTTGCCCACAGCACTGCAAAAAGCCACCTTAGAGCTGTTTCAGGCTGTTTTAAGTTCCAGATCGTTTTGAATTCCTGCCCTAGAAGCTATACATACTCAGAGAAAGAGTTCAGTCTTGGCCCATGATACTGTACTGAATACCTCAGCAACTTTTCTACAGACTAAATAACATAACTTTCTTTAAAGTTCTTAAAATGAAACTTCAACAATGTCTCCTTGAAGCTGTTAGGAGTGCTTCAAAATTCTCTGTCTTTTGTATTGTCTTTGCTTGTTTGTTTGGTTTTGGTATAAAGAAAGCCTAAACCTGGATGCAGTTAGTAGGAATCTGAGAAGGCTAAGTTCAAAATCTCAGAGGATATTTTCTTTATATTTTCTATGTTTTATATTCCTTTCATAAATTCTGATGTGAATACTTTCCTAGTAAGAATATTTGTAACATAGTTTAACATTTCATTTATCTTTGTGTGCAATCTAGCATTTGTTTTATTAAAACAATCTAAATTTATTAAGGAATTAGATTATAGGGAAATTAAATTAAAATATTTTAAATTAAATTTTAAATTAAAACATAATTTAAAAGAAATTATTATATCCAAATACAAAAAAACAAAGGCATAAAGATGTTGTGACCGAGTCCATGATTCAGGGAAAATGATGTACCAGACTACTGAGTGGCTTGGACACTGTATTAGTCCATTTTCAAATTGCTATAAAGAACCAAGACTAGGTAATTAATGAAGAAAAACTGTTTAGTTGACTCACAGTTCCACAAGCTATCCAGCAAGCGTGGCTGGGGAAGTCCCAAGAAAGTTACAATCGTGGCGGAAGGTGAAGGGGAAGCAGGCAACGTCTTCACATGGCGGAACAGGAGGAAGAGAGTGAAGGGGAAGGTTCTACACACTTTTAAACAACCAGATCTCGTGAGGACTCACTCACTATCAGGAGAACAGCAAGGGAGAAGTCTGCCCTCATGATCTACTCACCTCCTACCAGGCCCCTCAACATAAGGGTTACAATTTGACATGAGACTTGTGTGGGGAGACAGAGCCAAACCACATCAGACAGAAAGTCAAGCTCTTCATAAAGCACAAATGTTCCAAATTGGAAGAAAGGTAAGCTAGCTTTTTCCAAATGCCAACCTCCAAAGACCTCCAGATTAGGACTTCAAACATGTTTCAGGTTTGTCACATGGCTCTCCTCTAATTGGACCGCTTTCCAGGAAAACCAAAATTTACCCCACCCACATGCCTCTGATATTATTAATGTTCCTTCCTAGGCAGACAAATCCTATCAGAATTTCAAACCTACCCTAAATGTTTCCTCTTTAATGCAGTCGTTCACCCAATGCTTTTAAATATGTGAGACACTCTCTTTGCAATGAATTTAGAGCTTTTATCTGTCATGGGAAATTTACCTTATATTGCGGTTATTTGGGAAGTCATATTCCCCATTAAACTACATCTGAAGGTCAAGAACAGTTTTGCAGGTATCTGTATAATATGGAGTACTCAATGTACACTGACCATATTGAATCTGACAAAATTGAAATTAATGGAGCTTTTTATCTTTAAAACAGAAAAATAATAACGAAAAAGCACAACTCACAGAGTACTTGAACTTGCATCGTTCTGCTAAGTGGTATTTTTATGAGTCCTAAATGCTCTGCACTATGCTAATGAAAAACAAGGTTGCAAATTATTGCCTGGGCTTCCCAGAGAGCTGTTGGTACAGGACTCTGGCCTGCTAGTTTAAAAAAAAAAAACCTTTTCTCTCAGCATAGAAAAACAGGTTCCTGATTTGTGTAGTAGAGGCCAGTTCCTTTCTAAATTATGTGCAGACACTGCTCTGTGTATTTTAAGTGAATTGGTGTCTTTATGTAATCCTTGAAGGTCTCCATAATTCCGTGTTAACATGATGGAGTTTCTGATGTGCTTTTCTCCCTGCACAATCATAAGTTACTACAGAGAATGACACTCAGAAGTCAACAAAAGATCTTTATCAAGTATGACTACAAAATGATAGAACTCAGATGGCATAATATAAATAAACGCTTCTTTGTCCCCCAGTTTATCATGTGAGATGCTACACATATAGGACATCCACGCTATCATTGATCAAAATGATTATGAAAGTACTTTCAGCAGCTAGGGCACATTCTTCTAAACATTCCTAAATATGGCAGATCTCCAAAATATAAGGGGTGTGTGGGTTTTTTGAATATCCAAAGTTGTTAAACATCAATTCTGGGGCCAGGATCCTAACTTTGATATGTGTGTGTGCATGCTCACACATTTGCAAGGGTGAATGCTTGTGTGTGGGCATGTGCATAGATACTAATGTGCATGGGTGAAAACATGCAGATGTATGAATAAGCATGCCTTTTATCTCTATATCAGCACAGGAAAAAGCATGGAGCAGCAAACACTAGAATGATATATCTCACCTTCCCTGGGTCTGGGAATTTCAGATACATTTTATAATATTTTCTTGTTTATTTATATTTTCCAATTTTTCTATACAAATTTCTTGCTTATGTAAGAAGCAAATAAAGAGGAAAAAAGGAAAAAGAGAGACAAAAAACCTTCAGAAGTCTATGAATTCTGATGAATGCAGTAGTCTGTTTCCCACTGCTGCTGTAACAAATTACAACAAAGTGAGTTTCATAAACAATAAAGATGGATTATCTTACTGTTCTGGCTGTTAGAAATCCCAAATGCATCTCACTGAGCAAAATCCAAGGTGTCAGCAGGACAGGTTCCTTCTGAAGTCTCCAGAGAAGAATCCTTTCCTAGCCTTTTCC